AAAAGAATAAATTTTAATATATGGTCAATCGTACCTAGCAAAAAAAGATTAGTGGTGACTTCATTTTTTGTTCTTTTATTTTTGTTTTCAAATTTGTCGGATGGTTCCAAAACCGTTATGACAGTAATTAAAATTTTGACCGTAAAAATATTTAATTTTTTGATAAAATTTCTTTAGTTGGATGATTTAATTTGTAAAAAATTTTTACTTAAATTTATTTGAAAGGGCTAGATGACAAGTATACAAAAAAATATATATTATTTTAAAATTATCAATAAAAAATCATTCATTCATTTTTAAGATTTAATGGATAATTATAATAAATAAAATTTTATAATTTTAATCTGATATACAAAAGATGGAAATTTTATTTCCAAAGATTTATTTGGTGTTAAGCCTATGTATTTAAGAATCATGACATGTTCATTAGTTTTTTGGCTTGTTGCACCACACAAACTCAACATCATTTTTCGAATCCCATGATATGTGTTTTGCAGTGGTGATCTTTAGTGATTATTGCCATTGATTTCTAATCATTTTCTTCCTTCTTTTATAAGCTCATTTATTTTCCCATTTGTGACTTTAAATAAGAGAGTCACCCAATATTTACTCACCGTCAAGAACAAAAACACAAACGAATAAGGTTAAAAGTAGAATAAAAAAAATAAAAAGGATGCTTATGTGATCAATATCATAAAAAATAATCACTAAACATTGTTGCTTTAGGCTAAAAGATTCAATTTGTAGTAATTCAAGACGTTTCACCCTTAGTTTGGGCGGCTATGTTAATAGGCGTGATCATAATTTATTCATTTCGTATATGTTTTTCTATGCATGGCATTATAAAAACCAAATAGAAACAAAAAAAAATTTTGGACAATAACAATATTGTATTCTTTGTTTGGCCAAATATAGTAATATTATATTCTACTGATTACTTAAAAAAGTTAAAAGCTCTTTTTAATTTTAAAATTATTTTCATTTTTCTTTTTCTTTTTTTATATATTCACGTTTTAGATTAATATAAATAAGAAATCCATGCAAGAAATTAAAGACTGAAAAGAAATGTGTTAGAATTAGAAGAGTTGCATCATTTCGATATAAACAACAAAGTTAAGTTTAGCTTCAATCTTGCATATTATAAATTTTACTTGAATATATTTTTTTCTTCGATAAATTACGAATTCAAATCTAATTCTTTGAACATGAAATACACTCGTAAATTTCTGAAAATAAATGTTCAAATTCAATACTTCCTCGCACTATTAAAAAAGGAAATGGTAACAAGAACTCAAATTTACTCACTTTTTGGTTTTCTAACACAAACTTTGGTAGGATTTACAGATATACTTTCACATATCATACGGTAAAATGGGTCATAGCTTATGTCCCTACTTTTTTTTTAACAGAATTCAGATAAAAAGTAACAAAAAAAATAAATTTAATAATTCGTGTAATCGTATCATATAAAATATTATATTTATATTATTTTTATATAAAAATTACGTATCATAATTCGTATTAATATAAAAAATATAAAAAATATATTTTTTATTTTATTAAATTTATTTATAATTTTTATTAAAATTTTAAATTATATTTTTTATTTATATTATTCTTACATCATATTATCATTTTATATTTTATCTTAAATATCATATTTAATAATGACAGGTAAGCTATATTTTCAAACACTAGAAAAGGTCAAAACAGAAGAGAATAGTCATACATAGATACATAGGACAGCCAAAAGGCAATAGCAGTTTATGTCTTTTTTGCTCTGAACGGCTATATTATCACCAAAGTCATTGCCCAAATTGAAATCCCACAAACCCTATTTACAATTCAGCCCTTCCTGCTAATGCCTAGTGCTCCGCAATTCAGTCTTTGCAGACAAATCATCTCTTTTATTTTCCACAACTGTTAAATTACTTTCCATCTCTTTTATTTTTTTTGATTTTATAGTTGCTAGCAGGGTGAAAAAAATAAAAAATACATAAAATTAATTTAAAATTATAGTATTTAATTTGGTTTGAGTTGATTATTTTAATTAATTCATATTAAATTGGAATATTAAATATATATTAATTAGAATAAAATTTTTAATCAAAAAATGAAAAATATGAAAAAAATCGTACTGAATTAGATTATATAATTTTATTAACTTTTATATATATTTTAAATTTTTATAAAATAAAATTATTTTATATTTAAATTTATTTAAATATATTAAAAATTATATTAAAATAATATATAAAAAATAAATTTAAAAAATTAATAAACTAAACTACATTAATAAAATTCAAAATCATATTCAATTTACATTTGATCGAAATTTAAAAATTTATAATTTCATATATTATCCAAAAACTTAAATCAATTCCAATATAATTTGAATCATTATTACCCTTGACTGCCTAACAGCCGTCAAGTATTTAGATTAACAGTTATAAATGGTAGTTACATTTGCAATTTGCATTACCTATTATTGGTGGGCTGCTGCTGTCAATCAAATTCTGGTGGTATTTGAGAAGTGTAAAATTTTTGTGGAGGACCACATTAGATTCCCATTTGCTTAAATTCTTTTTTTTTTTTTTTTGAAAAAATTTAGCCTTTTTAACTCACATTTGTGTTTTTCTTCAATTGTATCTTTTGACTTTTACATATATTATTCTAATAATAAAGTTACGAAATTTTTTTTGTTTTATTTAGGTTTTTTTTTCAGACTATTTTAAAAATATATTTAACATATTAATTTGGTACATTCAATATTTTACTTTTAAAATATTTTTTACAAGAATTGAATATTGATTGATAAAAAAAGAATTTATTTCCTTAGTAACTCGACCAACTTTTGTGAGTATAAATAAAATTAAATAAAATATTTACTTATTTTTATACATAATACTTATTGCAGAAAAAAATGAAATAATGCATAAAAATTATATTCATGCTTAGCTTTATTTTTTTGGTATAATTTTGAAGGATGAAAATTCTAATCTAACTCTTTGGCACACGCATACTTATATTTGTTATTACATAAAAATTTTAAGGTATTAATTTTATCATTTATTTTACATTTCATTTTATTAAACTAAAATCTTAAGAAATTTAATTAATTGCATCAACTAAAATATATAAAAAACATAAATATTTTTAAAAATTAAAATGTATTTAAATAAAAAAATTTTGTCACGCAATTAAATCCGAAAAAAATTTCTTATTAAGTTATATATTTGTGGTATGGTTAATTGTAAGTTGTTTGTTAAAGTCCTCTGGAATTTTTAGTGGTTCATGAGTTAAACAAAATTGAATTTTCATTTTTTAGTGGTTCATGAGTTAAACAAAATTGAAAATTCACTTTGTATGGTGTGAATCATTCTTATGACTTATTTTGTTCAACATTTCTAATTTCATTTCGTTCCAAATTGAGACTAAATTTATTCAATGAGTTTTTTTTAGTAACAATAATATTCTAGAATTTTTACAAAGTTAATTCTATGTGTGTATTGATTAAATTGATAAAGTGACTCCACAAATTAATTATTTAACAAAACCTTTTCACCTATTCTTGGTTATTATTTGGACATATTTTGATAATTGCTCTAATTAATTTTTTTTTATCTCTTTTCGATTATATTTTGATAGTTTGTGTATTTATATCATATAAAATAATAAAAATTCATATATTTATATCGATATTTTATACAAAAATTATATAATCATAATTTGTGTCGATACAAATATAAATATATAATTTTTTTAATTTTATTAAATTTATATATAATTATTATTAAAATTTTAAACTTTTATGTTTTATTTTTATATAATATTCATGTCATTTTTTAAATTATAAAATCCACTTTCAATGGCTAAATTGATTGAAAAAAAAAAAAAAAGAATGAACAAGTGAGTCCCACTCATTAATAACATGGGGCTGGGATTGGAGCAAACAAAAATACCATGGGTTTACCATTAATTTCGCTTTTTTTTTTCATTATTTTCTTTATAAAGCTTTCTTTTTCCACAGATAAATTATAACTTGAATAATGTTGGAGTAAAAAAAAACATTTTTTCTAATTAGGTTAACTTATTAATTAAGCACGTGGAACGCCAACAGCCACAATGGTGCTACGTGTTCCAACAATTAATTTCCTCAATCAAATATTATGGAAACTAACTATTCAGTTTGGAAAATACTTTTATTTACAATTTTGGAATAATTTAAAAAAAATTAATTCTTATAATTTAAATTGTAGCTACTAACATTCCAAATTATTGATAGTTGCTTATATTTTTCTATAGATTCTCATAAAATCACTAATTAGAATTAGTAAAAAAGATTTTATAGATTTTATTTTCTTTAAAAATTAAAAAAGAAAAAAAATTATTATTTTCAACTATTAATACCATTTTTATAAAAAAAATATATTACTTTATACGTCACCAAATAAAATAAAAAATGTAAATATCTTTTTTATGCATAAATAAGAAAAAAATAGAATTATTGAAGTAACACATTTAATTAATTTTATGTAAACTCCACTTGATTGAACTCTAATCACATATTTTTTTAACATTTTCTTTTAAAAATTTTATATATCATGAAAAATTCAAATAGGCTACTTTAATTTTTGTAAAAAAAATTTAAACTTTTAGTGACACTTAATTTTTCTCACTAAAAAATGGAAAAAATTTACTACTATTTGGAGACAGGGTAAAAGCGTAAGTTCACGTGGATTGACACACTCTAAAATAGCCGACGACTGACCGGGCCTCCATTATTTTATCAATATTTTGAACGTATTCTCCACTCGGAGAGCTGAGAGCGAAAGCTAAAAATAGAGACAAAGACAAATCCATCAAAACAAACGATCCAAAACCAGTTTTTCAAAGAGAGACGTTACCCCAATGGCACGGGCCCATATCTTCTTCTTCTGAAAGTTCAAAAATCAAATCTATTAATCCCACCCAGCAAATGTCTTGTTTGGTAACCCAAAGGCTTAGCCTTTTTTTTTTTTTGTATGTTTTTTCAGAGATAAGGAAAAGGGTAGTTGGTTAAGTTGGTACCCTTTCCACAAATGGAGGCTTTGTTGAAGAAGAAAGATGATTGGACTGAGTCTGCAAGTGAGTTGAGTAGTTGTAATAGTGGTGAGTCTAAAGAGGGTAGTAATAGTAGTAGTTCCAGTAGATCAAGTTCAGGGAATTTGGTTGACAAAGTTAAGGTTAATAAGGCTAGAGTGTCAGGGTCAGGGTCTGCTTCAGCTTCACCTCCTTCTCTTTTGGGTTGGCCTATAAGGAGAGCTATTGCTACTACTACTACTACTCCTGCTACAGTGTCAAAGAATTCAGATGTTTCTGATGGCAATGGAGATGAAGACAAGATTAGTAATGAAGATGACAAGTTTAAAAAACTGAGTTCAAAGATTAATGGTTAGTAATGTTGTTTTTAAGTTTAAATTTTGTATTTTGGCTTTCTGATGTTTGGTTAGGTAGGCAGTGGTAGCTTTCTGTCATTCCATAAATCCCACATGGATTTGTTTTTTGGCCAAAAAAAGTCTATTTCTTTTTTCTTTTTGGAAATTTAAGTAGAGATTGACATGATGGAGGAGAGGTTTGCAAAATTGCTGCTTGGTGAAGACATGTCAGGGTCAGGAAAAGGGGTTTGCACAGCTTTGGCTATTTCAAATGCCATTACCAATCTCTGTGGCATGCTCTCTCTCTCTCTCTCTCTCTCTCTCTCTCTCGTTGAATTTATGGATTTTTAAGGTTCTTGTTCCAATTTAATTAACTTTGTTATTTTGTGAACTTATTAAATTTGTAAATACTATATGTAGCTACTATATTTGGGCAATTGTGGAGATTAGAGCCTATACATGAGGAGAAGAAATCCATGTGGAAAAGAGAGATGGAGTGGCTTGTTAGTGTTAGTGACCACATTGTTGAATTGATACCCTCTTGGCAAAATTTTCCAGCTGGAAGTAAGCTTGAGGTAATTGTCATCTTTAAAGTAGTCCAGAATCATTTTTTGTTGCATTAAAAGGAAACAATGAAGAAAAATTTCAGAATCATGTGAAATTTGAAAAGTAACTTTCTCAATCTGTATAATCCTCCTTGGTTGCTGTCCGCTGAGAAAGCATGGGAAAAGTTTGTATCTTTTAATCTTTTGAAAATTTCACTCGAAGCCTCCAATCAATCCAAACCAATCTACTACAAAGTCATCATGGGAAATGGTAAAAGACCTAATGGTTGATGGAGACCAGAGAGAATTGCTAGCAGAAAGAGCCGAAAATCTCCTGCTTTGCTTGAAACAAAGGTTCCCTGGTTTGACTCAAACTGCCTTGGATACCAGCAAAATCCAGTGCAACAAGGTTTGAATCCCTTTTCTGAAAATATCTAGTTTTGCCAAAGGCTACTTGATTCTCCCTCCAATTGTTGTTCAATTATAACTTATTTTAAACTTCCAGGATGTCGGAAAGTCCATTCTTGAAAGCTATTCAAGAGTTCTGGAAAGCCTGGCATATAACATTGTGGCACGCATTGATGATTTGTTATATGTAGATGACTTAACGAAGCATTCAGAAAAGTTGGCATCGGTTCCTACAGTTAGTGTAATTGCACACAAAAAGGTTTCAATCCCATATTCTGTGCCTGCCTCGAGCAGTCCCTACAAAACAGCAATCACCACACCAAGTTTTTCACCTGCACCACTGATCAGCCCTGCAAAGGGAGAGAGAACTCCATTTCTCAAGGAGAACAACAACAACAACACGACCAACAACAACAGCAAGCCTCACCGCCGTGGCTTTGGAGTGAAGAGGGTCTTGACTAATTATCTTGGAGTTGATTCAAAAGCAAAGTTATGTGGCAATCCAACAGATGTTCCCATGATGACTTTGTAGTAGATTGGTTTGGAATTGAATTGGAGGCTTCGAGTGAAATTTCAAAAGATTAAAAGATACAAACTTTCCCCATGCTTTCTCAGCGGACAGCAACCAAGGAGGATTATACAGATTGAGAAAGTTACCTTTCCAAATTTCACATGATTCTGAAATTTTTCTTCACTTAATGACGGAAAACTTCTGGTTGTAGCAAAATACTGATGTGTACGAGTTAAATTTTATATCGTTTTGGTTGTGTTACTGATTCTTGTAGTTCATTTGAAGCAGCTGCTATTTATATCAAAGCAGTCTACTGTTTTTTAGGATGTTAACCGTGTGTAACTGAGATGACATAAAATATAGCCATGAGATGTTTGTTCGCATTTTCTCTTCTGCTTATTGTGCATAAATGGTTACCATAAAAGTCAAAGGGAAAACCATAAAAATGGGGGCATTCCGAAAATTGAACTCGGGACCTCTCACACCCTAAGCGAGAATCATACC